CCTGCTGAGTTACAGTAATTGCTCAGGGTATTAACAGCAATAAAAGCTGAAGCTTCTGTTGTCAGTAGTGGTCTAGTACAACATATTAAAGCTGTCTGCAAAACAATGTGGGAAGCAGAGTGCAATATGTTTTGATACCTTTTTTTTTTTTTAAATCTCACATAGTGTTGTGTCTTATTCTTACTCTTCCTCCCCCTACTAGCAGAGTATGTAATGATATCAATTCTCTTGATCTGTGTATGGAAAGAATATAACTTATGTATGCTTATCCTCCTATTCACCGACTCTTTAATTCCCCTGATGAGTGTGTCACTAAAGTCACAGGCATAATGATCTTCTAGAAAAGAAACCTGATGTTGGTGTGGCTAACAGAATGGATTTGCATTACGTTTGCCAAGGTTGGTGTGACTGATGTGGGGGAAAGGGTAAGAGGTACAGTGGAAAGGATACTTAATCTCTTTCTCCCCCTGTCAGATTCTAGCAAGAAAACACAATCTTGTTTTGCACTTAGTAAAGCATGCCGAGTGAAGCAGGGAATCAAAAATCAACAGCTTTGACATGTCACCAACTAATTAAGTATGTTATCTTCTTGGTTATCATAAAGTAAAAGTGGGTTTGGCTGCACAGTTAGGTTATTCATTTAGTAACTATCCCTTTCATCTAAGTGCTCTTCCAATGCTCATTGTACAGTCCAGGCACAGGACTCTTTCCAGTTTCTTTTGCTGCAAGAAGGGATGGGAAAAAGAGGGAGCTTTGTGTTTTGCCACCAGAGGTGAAGTGACTGCTTTAAGATGGCAAAGCAGGTTGGAGACAGAGCTGAGCGTGGATTTCACAGCTAGACTTTTGGTTTAGCACTGAGCCAGTTAGGTTAGCCAGTTATCTGCAGGCCATTATGTACTCATGAAATGTACCCAGGAGTTTAAATTAGGCTCTGACCTTAATCTGAGGTCTCAATTCATCACTGAATTGTTCACAGTACTACAAAGTCTGACACCCAGTAATTTCAGTCAAGCATCCAAACCTTCCCCCACTTCAAAAACAGAAAGAAAAATGGAGGGGAGGGGAGGAGTGGGAAAACTACCCCAAAGAAGAGTTCAGATGTAATCTTGAATTGGTTGACATCTTAATTTAACAGACTTTCCCACTTTCACTTTAATAAACTTTTTATCAGAATGACTGATGGTGTAATTAAAACTTTTCTGCTGTTTCGCCTCTGCTAATATTGGAGTGAATTAGCAAGAGACGCACAGGGTGAGACTCAGCTTGATGGATTTGTAGGGACTGAGCTGCTGATACCACCTTTGGAAGTGATAAGCTTGCATGGCAAGTGCCAGGAATTATTTTGGAACAGCATCTAGTCTCCTCTCCAGATTGCACTGCTGAGAAGAAAGAAACCAGCGTCATCCTCTTTACATGCTCTTTCCATCTCTCCTTGTCATAGCATGCATAACAGTATGTTTTCTCACATTACTATATTACACTTACACTACAAGTCCCTGTTTTAACACATCAGCTCTGCTAAACGAGATACTAGAGGAACAGCTCTTTTCATTTCCTGAAGCACAATTACATCTCACCAATGGTTATTAAATTCCAGTGATAAAACTTTAGCTGCTCCTGTTGTTCTCTTTGTAAAATGTCTCTACTGCTGTCCTGGTTATGATTTTTGCTTTGCTTGGAGAACAGCACTGAAGTAAGAGTTGTTTTAGTCTCTTCATGAACTACTTCTCAAGAGTTAGGATAAAATGGAGCTAGTAGTAGTAAGTTGTGTGCGTTTGGGGGGAGCTGATGGGACATTGGTGTTTTGGCTTCCTGGAGCCTGCACCTGTGGTAGGAAGCAGTTGTGGCATGGGGGTACAGGGGAGAGAAACACCCAGGACCCAAAGGTCCTGCCCCCACTCATGGAGGATAGTGCTGTCTAGCTGGTCAAGCTGGAGCTGCCCCAGGGGATTGGATTCCCCAACATACTGTTTAAAGGCTTCTCACTTGAGATGTGGAGTGAACACTTCAAGCTTTTTCTTCTTTTGTACCTAAAACTCAAGCCAGGACTAGAGGTTGTAGGTGATGGGAGTCAGAGGCGCTCACAAAGTGATTTGGCAATTCTAGTAAGACTGTGTCGAGCAATGTCTTGGATCATAGTTGTGCTCTTCTGTTTCTGG